AGGAATACACGGAGAGATGAGAGAGAATCTACTCCGGTGAAACGCAGGCAGAGAACAGGAGAGCCCTGAAGACTGACAAGTGAAACAGACTAATGATGCCAATAGCTGCTGCAAGAATTACAAAGGGACAAGCCAAGACGACCGGCTCCCTGTTTCTATGAATTTACAGCCATCCCATATAGCTTCTCTCCCTTTTTCATTCAACTAGATATATCACAAAGCCTCTCCTTCAGGGTTATTTTTTATTTTTTCATACCCGTTGGATTCAAATCGCATAAATATGAATTAACTCTGCTGATGATAGGTGGCTGGTTTGAATTTTATCCCTCGCCGGCAAATCGCAACATTTGTGGTTTCTCTGCCGCAGATAAGTTGAGGAATTACCCTGAAAGCATGTGTCGGCACAAACAAAACATCTTGGAAGTGTCGGCATGAAATACTGTGGCTCTGAATGCGTTTGTTGAAACTTTATGTGGAAGTTATCGAGTGAAACGAAGCAATAGACGCTGAACCGAGAATATACTGAACCAAACTCCAAACGAAAGTTTATGGCCTTCACTCACAGCAGCTTGTAAGTGAACTTTAGTGTATTCAAGTTCACTGGGGGCCAATGGGGTGTTCAGGGCAAATGTCTGCTTTTTATGAGGAGCAACATTAAATTTTTACTGCTAAAAACAATGTTAGAAAACAATTAGTTTTGTAATTGACAGGCCACCATTTTATTTTTTATTTCTTAAGTCAAAAAATGTAAAAAAATGAAAAAAAATTGTTGCGGGCCCCCTTCTGGTCAGGGGTCAATATACTGACAGGTCACATGCATTTTTTGTATTTGAAATACTGCAAAGTTTTTTGGGGTTTTTTTATTGTAAGGTTTTCTTTCTTTTTACCAGCAAATACACAAAGATGTCTGATAATTCATAGTTCCTCGCGCTTCAGTAGCAACGCTTAAAAGTGAGCCAAGAGCAAACCAGAGTCTGGACTAATGCACGTCTTCTGCTGCATCTACACGTCCGGTGTATCGAGAAGCTACACTAACAAGTACAGACAAGCCTGTCGGAGTGAAAACGGGAAAAAAAATCTATTGGATTCGACATAACAGTCGCCTGCTTGTTGTTGTTGTTGCTGGTGTTTGCAAACTCTCTCAAGACTGAGTAAGACTTGTTTCCTTTTGATTCACACCGTCGCGGTGTAATCACACTCAGCTGCAGTGTGAAACGGCGATGAACCTAATTGAGAAAATTTCCATCAGCCACTGGGGTAAGGGCTTTACTTTCAAGCAGTGACAACAACGCAATCATTTTTTTTTTCAACAGCGTATGAACCCCCTGCTGCTGCTGCCACACACAGGGGAAAAAAAACAAGACTTTATGAAGCACACACACACACCTACACACACACCATCTGAAGCCTGACGCGGCCTATTTGCAGGACACACACACACACACACGCAGTCTCAGTGTGTGTGCAACAACCAGCACACACCCTCATTCCACACGAAGGCAAACAAAGTTGATGATTTTAATCACCATAACATGCTGAGAACACAAACACACCCTCAGGGTGCTAATCAATTACTGCAGCGCTCACATTCACACACGTCCTTACGCACAAAAACACACTCGTGCAATCAAGCCAAACCAATTTCCCCCCCAATGCTGTTTTTTATGGCCGGTTCTGAATTATGTGTGTGGGGAACAGGAAGCCGCACGCCTCGGTCAGAGAGGAAATGTTTGTCACCGTCAAAAGAGACCACAGCAACCCACACACCAACCCACACACACACACACACACACCCACTTCCTCACGCGTACGCATGCAGAGATTTGACGGCCACGTCTTCTCTTAGTTAAGAATTAGCATTTTCAGATTGACGAGCGTCAAAGTGTCCCATCGTTTCTCCCCCAGGTCCATCAATCAAAGTTAAGGATTGTCACCACACCTGAAGCAATCATCAGGCATTTCCATACCAGGCCCTCCGTGCATGCTGGGCGTCTACGGAGATCTTTTTAATGGCTGACTTTTGAAAACTTGACGTTTTTAAGGCTGCATACGCAGATTGTGTTTAGGCTAAACAACGACGTTAAAAATCAACCTATAGCAACTTCTCAGGAATATTTAGGTATCAGTGCTCACCTTTCTGTTGGTGGGTTGTTGTTCTTTTTCTCACCTCTTTACTTTTTAATCACGTTTGCTAGTTGCTTCCATGGGAGGTGAAGTCCTCTTTTCAATCTTTTCATTGAATGTTTGCTCTTAACTTGGACCAAAATGAACTTTTTGTTGTTTTCATTCGTCCCTCAGTGTCTCATCTGCTTCTAAAAACTTTAAAAACGGAGACCACCCAGGCATTTCTTGGCATTAAGTTCATCTTTTTGGTGACTAGAAAATGAACTATTCCAAAAAGTTCTCAGTTATTGAGTCACACTGCACCGTTACCTAGCAACCTCAGACAAACCCTAGCAACCCAAACAGAGCTGTAGCATGTTTAGTCATCTGGCTTTATGTGCAGGGGGCTCCACTTCTGCTTTTCAAAGATGTTCAGTTATGTAGTGGCACACTTGTTTTCAGCCATTTTCAAATGAAATTGCAAACACTGTGCTGGGGGGGCGTGGCCTGCAGCAAATTATTTGGATCAACAGAAACAAGAGGAGACAGTAAAACGGCTCTTTTTGAAAGGAGTTCAAAATAGGCAGAAGCTGGGTGATTTTGTGCAGTTTTGTGCAAAAAACTGTGGTCAGCGTGTTTTGTGTAGCCCATATCTACCCTACCCTGTTCAAGAAAGCACAATAGGTTTTATTATTGGCTTCGTGGAAGGGAAAGTCCGCTTTTCAATCTTTTCATTGAACTTTTTTTCTTAATTTAGGCTCTGAATTATAATTTTAGAAAGCTCAAACAGCAAAGGTCGAAAGCTGCTTGTCTCGTCTGCCTGAAGTATTCAGTGGCAGTGGACGTCTGAAGCAGCTCTGCACTAACATGCTTCTTTCGTAGCATGCAATGCTACAAACAGACGGCCTCAGCGGTTCGGTTCTTGACTGTGCGGATAGAGCTGTCATCATGATAATACCGAGGTCTATCATACTTATCTGCTAATTGACTGCCTAACGAGGTGGCGTCCATTAGAATGCTCATTAATACCTCATCATCGCCACTGATAGCTGTAATAACAGCATGGTGGGGATTTCAAGGTCTTACGTGATTGTGTGTGCATTTGTGTTAGGAGAACAAGTATCGGATGTGACCATATGTTTCCATTATTATTAATGTAATTGTATTTTACTTAGAATTGTAATTTTTTATTAATTTTTTTTAGTTGTTGGAATATTGACATTGCATGGCTTAATGGTAGCATCCCAACCTCTTGTATGTACAGGTCCAAGATATTTTTTAAAAGAAAGGAAATGGAAATATGGCACCATTAATGACTTGACTTTCAGCAGCTGCGTTTCATCTGCAACGCAGTATTCGCAAAACTTTATTAATATTCCGCTATTGTAAAAACAACAACAAATAAAAAAAATGCAATTTGGCAATCACTGTGTTTCCATTAAATAAGAAACGCTATGAAAATCACATGTGACTAAGCTGGTTCACACAACAAATTATTCAAAAACCTGTTGACCTTCGTCTCATGGGATGGGATTGCAGTTTTGCCAATTTAATTTTGTGAAACTTTTTCAGAAAACTAGCTTTGTCAGAGTTAGCAAATTTATTTTCGAAATGTCAAATTATTTGGTCAAAGGAAACACAACTAGCGTCTGCTCAATAAGCCAAACTTTTCATCACGGTCCAGTACTCACAGACGTTTCTAATGAATTTTAACTCCAAATTGTCAAAAATTTGCCTGTTTGTGTCATTTTCCAAAGAGCGTATCAAAATTATTTGAAAGAAAATTCAGCTTGGGAAGCTAAAATGGCCTGGCACAATGCTATGTGACACACTACTGACAGCATAAAGGCATTGGTCGCTATTTCAAAGCTCGGAGTCAGAACCTCCAGCTGCCGGTGACTAATGCGCTGCATATTTCTGATCTCTGTTGAGTAAAAGCGGCAGATTATGAGCAACAGCCAATCCAGAAGCACCATTTATTTTCCGTGGCACTGATTGGCTCTACCTCCAAGAGCTGAGATAAAGATGTTTGTAGATGTCAGCTTTGACAGTAGCACCAAAATGGCGTCAACTGTGTGTATTAATTCATACTATTGTATATTTGGTGTATAATACAAATATTCAACAGGCAGTGACAAGTGTTTTTATAGAGGTTCTTAAGTATTCGCAAATTTTAGCTATTTGCAGACGGTTATGGTCTCTAACCCCTGGCAGATTATTTGGCATTTTTTCCATGTTTCAAATGAACATTAATGAATCATTGACATAAATCAAGCTCATGTGACTTGCAGAAAAGTCACTTCTGGGTTAGTGTTGTCTTATTTCAAGCGAACTCAGATTTTTGCGCTAGAAACTGGAGCAAAAATTATTTGGCAAGATTTTGTTTTCGCAGTTCAGGTGTTTTGAACGTATCCGTTCAAACAAAAACCTACACAGGGATTTGTTTTTATTCTCTCCTCATCACAGATGCTGAAAGCAAACCAGGGTGCAGGATGGCAGGAGGTTTGGTCAAAAACGCCGAGCTGACTAGTTGAAAGCCTATAGCAGTATCAGTTAAATAAAGTTGTTTTTGTTCAGTTTTCTCTTAGTCCTCCATCTTTTCTCCTCTGTGTGAAGAATTTGGAGAATTGTCCAGGTAAATCATTACTTTTCCCTGCAGTGTAAAGTCTTGCCATCGCCAAGTTTCTGTCAAATCACAGCTGGGGTTCTCGTCTCGATTCAGTCAGAAATTCCAGATGCAAAACGAGTGTGTGTGTGTGTGTGTGTGTGTGTGTGTGTGTGTGTGTGTGTGTGTGTGTGTGTGTGGGTGTGTGTGTGTGTGTGTTTGTGTGGGGTGTGTGTGTGTGTGTGTGTACGTGTGGTTATTTTTTTAATAGCGGTTGTGTTGTACGTTGCAGGTATGCCCCTGAGTCTGGACTGCAAGGCCTTTTTCGGCTACAGCGGAGAAAACAGGAGACCCATCATCTACTGGAAGAAAGGAGAGAAGTACGTGGAGGAGCTGGCGGGACACATCAAAGAAAGTGAAACCATGTAAGTACGACGGCGTTCACGGAACATTTCATCACATTACCATGACAACGATGGGGGATAGAGCCAGGCGCTTGCACCTCAGAGCGCGCAGGTGTGTGTGTTTTTGATGAGTTTCCCAATGACTCGGCTGGATCTTCACCGCTCACACCGTCAGCACCTAATTTTCTGGTGATTTATGACTCGCCGAGCATCCTCCGACAGCATTCTCCTCAACTCGTCTGAAAAATTATGAATCCTAATAATAAAGTTTAATTGAATTCATTTTCTTCCCTGTTGGGACCAATCTACTGGGAAAAGACTGGTTGTCTGCAGGGCATCAAACATCATTAGAACAACCCGCCAGATCGCTATGGCAACCGCTGGAATATTTACGTCATGCACTCTCACACACACACACACACACACACACACACACACACACACACACACACACACACACACACATTGAGTATCACTAAAGAGAGGTTGTCTGTGTCCCCTGAAACACCTGACCTTGGCCAGGTGCGAAGGCTGAAGCTGTTTCTTTTCAGCTTTCTGTGAAAAAAATAAATAAATAAACTAAAAGGAGGAGAAGGGAATGTTGAGAAAACCATGGCTCCGACCCAAAGCCTGGGTACGATTTGCTGCAATCCATTAAACATTTAAAGATGAATGTGAGGCTCAAGTCCCGTTTGAGCTCTGCGGTTCTGGACTTCTGGATAATAGGTGGAAAAAAATGGCTTTTTTTTTCAAAAGTAGCAACTCGCTTCTTTGAGTAGAACTTTGTAAACTCTGATACGTACACACTGTGGCCTGATTGCTGCCAGACTTTAAGACTCATGAAAGATCTCAAAAAGTCACACATAATCTTCCAACACAAATTCAACAACGTTGTCCAACGGCCATTTCTAAGGCTTTGGGACAACGTCAAGCTAACGTTACATTTGCCCTCTGCAAATAGACCAACATTAGAGCTTCCCAGGAGGGGCCATGTCACCAAAACTACTCCACCACATTTCCTTCAGAAGGTCCTCAGAGGACATAGAAGTAAATCTAAAGCACTGCAGGCCTCACTTAAAATCATGTTCTTTATAGCAACCTCCAGTTGCTGTAAAAAACTATAAATATCAAATGTAACTTCAAAGAAATTTGACTTTGTCTTTAAATTGGACCTCTGTCTCTTTACAAAGCTCCTGCTGTTTCTGAAGCTCCACTTTCAGGAAGTCATCAAAACATGGCTCCTCTATTAACCCTTTAGCAACGTTTTTACCAATATTTCACTGAGAAGTAGCTCCTATAATGAGCTCAGCTGATGCTTAGTTCAGGTAATTGCTGCCGGCTAGTCTGAAGGAGCTGAGTGGGGCCAAAGGTGAGGCACAAGCTTGGAAACTGCAGCTCTAAGAAGTAGATGCTTGTTCCATGCAGGCGTTTTCACAGCTGAATGGTTGTCAGGGGAGATTAAAGGATTTTTTAAAATATCCATAAAAGGAATCTCATCAACTCTCCAGGAATGTTTTTGATGAAACAAAAACATCATAACATGATATAATGCTCAAATACTGCTCCTTTACAAGCAAAGTCCTTATTTGAAAGATTCATTTTGTACTCTGGTTATTCTTGCTTGATATTAAAATTTGTCGACATAAGAAAAATAAACAAAAAAAATGTGTTGTGAAAACAGAAGTAATATTTCAACACTATACGGTGTGTTGAGTTGGATGTTGCTCTCTTTTTACCTGTTGACAGTTTCCTGGTTGCCATGCAACGTAACAATTTCTCGAACCCTTTGAAGGTTATCAATAGCAAAACCTTCAATCAGAACGACAGACCAGACTGACCTCATATAATCACTTTTTTTTCCTATTTTCACCTCTTCAAAATTAGAGGGAGAAAAAAAACCCTATTTCATGAAAGTTTAAGAAGTTTAAACTCTTATTGAAGTGATTAGAAAGTACAGACTCAAAACGTGTGAAGCTTCGTCCACAGAGAGCGTTCGTTGGCGAGGCCGACGCTCCGGTTGGTCACCACGACACTCTGGCTCTCCAAACCTCGCAACCGGAAACGGTGCAGCAACCTCGTCAAGCTTGAGTTGACTTCATAACTTCATTCTGCGCCTCCGCCTGTCAATACGGCTGCGCTGCAGAGCCAGGCCTCAAAATATTTTAATTGATGCAAGCAGTGCAAGCCAAAGTTGGCAAATCAGCAGGCAGGCCTGTGGTGTGTATGCAGGGGATCCCTGTTTACTGTAAGACTAAGTGCAGAGGTAAACAAAATATTAGTAGGAATGGATGCCTTATTAATTTAGAACCCTTGACAGTTTGGAAATATTATTTTAAAAACTCAAGAAGAAGGGAAAAAAAAACAGTGTAATGTGGATTTCCTCCATCCCAAACTGGTTGAGTTAAAACCTCCATGGTGAAGCAATTGTAGTAACATAGACTCAGAAGGTACCAACCAAGAAGGAAGCTCCTCCTCCACCTCCTTCAAGTTTAAGTGAAAATTTCAGCTACTCATGAAGACATGACATCATCAAGGATCACCGTCACATGACCAAGCTGACACTGAGCCGTTTGATCACATTTACAAGAGATACGTTTGGAGGAGACAAAATGAGAATCTGAAACCTACTGAGGTTCTCCATCCGACATGTTGGTTAGCATTGAGACTTTCCAGATTGGAAACGCTCCCCAGTAGAAACGTCTTTAAATGGACAATAATACATGTATTTGACCTAAATGTAACTGCTTTGCTAAATGGCTCAGCCTCTGTGGAATATTGTACACCACATTGTGTTACGGAGATAAGTTAGGCTGCATTCATACCAACCTGCTTAGTCCACTTTAATCGAAGTCTAGTCCGTTTGCCTAGATAGTCCGGTTTGTTTGGGGTGGTGTGAATGTGTAATCGAACTCTGAAGTGGACCGAGAAACAACTCCAGTCCACCTACAAAGCTCGGTTTTGGTTTTGTTGAGCTGAACTCTGGCACAGTTTGAACACATTGTGAACATTGAGCTTTCAAACCGAGTCGAACTGAGTCTACCAGACTATGAGGTGTAAAAACACTCAAACTCTCATTACCTCTGAGTCTCTACATCACACAAAACTGGACAGTATGACATGTGCAGAAAACATTTTTAATTTGGTTTGGTAAAATAGACTGCTTGGTTTCTTGTGAAGTAAATGTTCAGTGAACACCCAGAGCTTTTAAATTTTTATTTAGGTCGAGAAAAAAACAAAGTGTGAGTTTCAACTTCATCTCTTTACGCTGGACGTAAAGAGCCTTTCCGCCTTCAGGATGCTGTTTGTGACTGCTGAGCCAATGCCCTTTGATAATATTTGTCTCTGTGAAAACATGGATGTAAATATTGAGGGTAGCTGTGAACGTGGGACTAATCCTTCGCTGTGGTAATAAAACACTGTTTGCCAGATGACTTCTGTATCTTTCATTTCAGCGTTATGACTGCCTCTGATCAGATCACACTGCCATTCCAGATCCAAGAGGCGCCTCTGTCGCGCCGAGGCGGACAGAGCCCCACTGTGACACATATTAATCTGTCAGCTTTCAGATCCCCCATGATTCTGACAGGAGTTTGTTGATAGTGTCCACACACAGCCCTGGAAAGGAATGTACAAAGTTTAGCTGTATTATTACAGCCATGAAGTGTAGAACACTGATTTGATCTTCATTGTTGCACATGTTAGCAGTTGGGTTATTTTTGCATTTTCTCAGTTTGTGACTAAGTCTTTCCTCTGAAAGGCAGCGGTTTGAGTTTTTCTCTGCACTCCACCTTTTTCTGAAGGCATGCATCTTTCCTTGAGAAAAGCCAACTTGTCTTGTAAATAATTGAAATGTTTGCGATCAAAAATATGCTAAAAGCACAGTAAACATAGCAAATATGAGCAGTATCATCAGTTTCTGAGCTGCTGTCGACAGAGCACGGCTCGGCCGTCCAGCTACTTTCCATTTTTGCAACTCAGCGTTCACAGTTCAGAGTCCCTTCATGTGCAATGAATTCATAATACCTTTATTCCAATGCATCGATTGATTACCCCCCCTCCCCCCACATACAGTTTTTCATTCCTTTCTAACTCTTTTTTCTTGTCTGTCGACATTTTCCCCTGATCAGAAGTCGCTTTAGGCCACAGAACATTCAGGAGAGATAGCACCTGTAATTGGCATTGAGCGGAAATTTGGTTTCTAAATCCCCAAGACGTTTCAACCAGCTGGTATCTTTTATTTAGGATGTACTGGAGTTTGTTGTTTTTAACCTGTTTGTTATTGAAACATTTTTTGGAATGTTTGGGACTGGAACATTCTGAATCATAGGTAATAGTTTGATCCAACCATTCGGTATTTTCTTGGTGCGTTGGCTTTTAACGGGCACAAAAAACCAACATGGACTCATTCCCCCGATTACATCCCTACACTAGATCACCTTCTTCTTCTGCACTGCTTTCAAAATGGCACTGCTCAACTTTTGAACTTTAAATTGGTTTATTTTCAGCTAAGCAGGTTCTATTAAATGCTCCTCTCAGGAAGTTTAGCCTTATAGAAGCTGCTGTCCTTCCTTTTCCTTTGAGTTAGTATGTCAATGTCCAGTGGCTGGAAGACATCAGCAGCTCTTCATGTTGGACATTTACATTAGCTGTGTTTCCATTTGACCATACAATTGTGGAATTTAGAAAATTAATTCCCTAAATGGAAACATGGCACATTTGAAAAAAAAAAACTTTTTTTGATCAAAAGTTTTGATGCTATGATGAGATGGTTTAGTTTGGTCATACTGATTTTTTTATTATTTCACTAAGCTGCACAGAAAATCGTTTTTCACATTAGACAAGTTACATGATCAACAACCGGATGTTGCCACTGGTGCAAACCATGAAGAAGACGGGAAGCAGTTTTGTACATATTTAAAATGGAAATATGTGTGTTTGTACATTTAAAATATGTAGCACACACTAAGTAGCATGAGTGCTTTTACTATATTCACAGATACAGTCTCAAGAAACACTAAATAAAAAAATGGAGAAATTGTAAATGATAAAAAAGAAGGTAATAGGACTTTTTTTCTTGTCCAGTTGTCTTCTAATTTATGCACTTAGACTCATCAAATTGTGGAGGATTGAGAATTTACACCAACTTAAAGAGCAGAGATCCAATTTGAAGGTGAACCTTACTTGACTTGCTCCATTGTGTCTGAAACCGTCCTTTTAAATGTACAAAACTCTCACTACCGTCTATGGGTGCCCGCCTCTACCTCTAATAGCTTTGAAGTAGGCAATTAAAGACAAAAATTGTCACGGAAAAGTGTGAGCTCCACACTTTAAAACTCTAGATTACTACCCTAGAGGGTCCATTTCAGAACAGCAGCACATTTAAGTCTACATGTAGTTGAGATCAGGAAGTTTTGAACTTCAGAAAGTTTAAATGTACTCAATGAATGTTAAAACATAAATGAAGTGGGTTGTAGTGGTTACTGGTTGGCAGAACTAGCACTAGAAGTTGGATAATTTTTGAAAGAAAGGTGCTAAAGAAGTCTTACAGGGAACGGCCACAAGAGGTCAGTACCTCTGGATTCCAGGAAGGGCAAAAAAGTGCTTGATTTGGTGAGAATTTTTGTTTTTGAAAGTGGTGTGAACTGATAGAGAAAAAAAATCTACTGGACCTACCTTTGAGTTTAGGAACATATTTTTAGACTCAGCTGGAGGAGTGGAACTATCTCTGAGTTTTCTCACTGAGGAAGACATGGACTGGTAGATCGGGGTCGTTTGAAGTCATTTGGATGCAGTACAGGTTTGGCTTCAAAGAACAACGCTCTGCTATAATAGACTTTGGATTGTAACCAACCAAATGGCTCTGCTAGTTCATATGGTTTAAATGAGATTCCTCTATATCAGGTTTCTTCAAATCCAGGTTTGTGTCCTGCAACCTTTAGATGTGTCTCTGCTTAGACACACCGAGTAAAACAAATAATGAGATCATTAGCAAGAACTGTTTTCCATACTGAGGAGGTAACTCTGCTTGTTGATTCAGGTGTGCTGGAGCAGGGACGTCTAAAAGTTGCAATTAACCATCCCTCTGTGTCTACATTGAAGGCCCCTGCTCAACCGGGTGGTGGAACCCGCCTTACATTGGTGCTTCTCTGTGTTGAGTTCGGAGCGCTTTGGATCGTCTTCCTGAAATCCACTGGCAGCAAGCTGGAGAGATGAGCTGGATTTCCATTACAAATGTGCACAAAATGTCAGAAAAAACACAATTTCCAAATTGCTGTGCTTCCACAAATAAGAAACCCAATTAAAATCACACATGAATAAGTTAGTTCGCACAATAAGTCATGAATAAAAAAGCCACGCCATCGTCCTCCAACTACTTCCTGTCATTTTCTTCTTTGTGCTTTGCATGGTTTTTTGTAGTTCACGTGAGAAAATAAGTGTTTTTATTGCAGTTTTGAGAAATAAACCTTTTTCAAAATTTCCATATTTCCATTCAACTTTTTTTTTTTATCACAAATTGTGCATGGAAACACAGCTAACGCATTTTATGTCTTGGTTTGAAACCCTCCAAACTATGACAGGATGGATGGATCAGTAACTTTTATCTCAACTTCTACTTCAACTATTTTTGCTCTCCTCCGTTGCTGACAGTGGAAGATGGCATGAACACTTAAAGGGCCGGGAATTTATTTCCCAAACGGATCATTCCCACTGAATGCATCTCAGACCTTTTAGCCTCGACGAACTGGAATTAAAGTCCTAAGTGAGAAATAAAGTATGTTTTATTGAGAGTAATGAAAAGGAGTACATAAAAAATACTGCATAAGCCTCTGTGCTTGTCATGGTTGCACTTTGCAAAGCCTCCCCCTGGGGTCTGACGCATGTGTGTGTGTCTCAGAAGCTGGCTGGTTCGTATTCCTTTAAACTCGACTTTAACCAGCATACTCTGTAGTGAGGAGGGAGAAAAAAAATCTGTGGCATTACTGCTTGTTTTTCAAAACAAGTTGGGATTCTGCTCTGGGAGTTTTATTCCCAAAATTCAGCTTGTTACCAAAATACTTAGTTAATATGGAAGAAATTCAGATCAACACGCAAAACAACTAACTAAAACTGCAGCTCTTTTCTTTCTTCAGGTGGCATTTTGAACTTTTAAAGCGTGTTAAAGCACTAATGACTCTCTGTTTGCCATGCTCACCTTGCTTACAGTTCCTTAGAGAATTGTGCAAAAGTTTTAGGCCACATGTGATTTTTGTAGATTTTATCATTGGTATTTTCATGTTATTATTTATTTATCTTTTCCCTTTACCATCATAGCATGATGTGAGGAAAGTGAACATGTGGGTAAGAAAAAAAAAATGTTTGGGCAACAAGAAACACATTCTCCATTACATGAACAAACGACAAAAATCAAACCAGAAAGAGCAAGACTTCTGGAATAATGTTTTTTGAACAGAAAAACATTATAGAAAAGTCTTAAGAACTTTATGGATGAACATTTTTTCCTTTACTTTTCTCCAGCATTCAGCCCCTCAAAGACGACCCTGACGTTCGGTGTGCGATTTGGTGTTTTTACAAACGTATTGTCCCACGTAAACACTTCCTTGTTCCCACCAGGTGGCTCAGATCTGGACAGCCTTATCGGCAACTTCAAGCAGAGACGTCTACGGTGACTGACAGGAATTAAATCTGCGCTCCATTTTTGTCTCTGCAGGATCTTGAGGGAACATTTAGGCGAGAAGGAAGTGCAGGTGTCGCTGACGTTTGACGCCGTGGAGGAGGCAGATCTGGCCAATTACACCTGCTACGTAGAGAACCGCATCGGGAAGCGCAGCGGGAGCGCAATACTGCAGAAGAAAGGTACAGCTCTCGCCTTTTTCCTTCCCTCTCGGCTTGTCTTTGCTGCTGCATGAGGTCGACCCAAAAAAGAAAAAAAAAAAGGGTTCTCTGTTTACTAGGAGAAATCTGTCATGTCACAATTACCAGAGATAGTTTCTGCTGCCTTGAGGAGAGTCAGGTTTTACTTTCTGTTGTCTGGAAAAGGTCAGACAGTTAAGTTAGCAAGTTCCTCTGGAAAGATTGGAGATGGGAAGTTCATGTTTTTTTTTCTTGGCATTTCCTGCACTGAATAAAGAGAAATGTATTCACTGTAGGAAAGCCAAAAATAATAGCAGTAATAATAATAATAATAATAATAATAATAATAATAATAATAATAATAATAATAATAATAATAATACAAAAACGGTCAAATAAAATGTCTTTTTCTTACGATGGAGTATAATAGTAAAATAATAAAATAATTCTATTTTCATAGAATTATGAAAATAAACTCAAAATATTCTGAGAATAAAGTCATAATATTACAACCATAAAGTTCCACAAGAATAGTCCAAACAGTATGAGTTGTTATAATAAAGTTGTAACATTATGACTTTATGAACCGTTTTATAAAAGTTAAAAAGGCAAATACTATAATTCAAACTCCTATAATTGCTGACCAGGTTTTTTCTTCTTGAGCTTCAAGTCTTGGTGGTCGGAGAGCCTCCTTTCCATCACCTTAATTTTTATCTCCCTCCATGGATTCTTGATGACATTCCACTGATCTATAGTAGAAAGTATTTTTCCAATATTATGGAAACTTGTCACAACTTAAGCTGCTACATCTCCAATTAACAGAAACTCGCAGTAATTTGCATCAATAACCAAATAAAGTGTTTTGATTTTATGTTTTTAAAACCTTTTTTTTTTTTTGCTTAAATCCAGTTTATTCCCCAGAATAATGTGCATTTTGAACGCATTTTAACGTTTGCCGGACATAACGGCGCCATGAGACAAAAAACAAACGGGTTCATGTAGCTGAAGCTTAAATTCATTGTTTTTCAGAGAAACTATCAAAAACTGATTCCTGGAAACAAAATCGTACAATAACAGTTAAATATGCACGGCGTCACCTTGGATCAAAACTCTGGCTGACCTTTATTAATGTTTGAGATTGTCTTATTATTGTCTTTGCTCTGCATCCCTGGGTTATAAAAACCATTTGGAGAAAATTAAATAACACACTGAAGTTCAATCTCTGGTAATTATCTGGTTATCATCCTATTATTATCCAAAACTGGCCATTTAAATATGTAAAGAAGTTCTTCTAATCCATTATTCAATATATTTTGTTGTATTATTGAATGGAACTGTAGCCATTTCATGCCCAAGCCATATCAGCCTGTGTTGGTTTATATTTTTGTCTCGTTTTAATGAGTTCAACCTGTTTCTCTGTGAGAGACGAACTATAATAAACACCACGATGCATTCAGGAGCCCTGCAGCTTTCGCGGTGCGTTCTCCCTAAAGCGCCGCTTTATTTTTCACGCTCGTCCCGGGCTCGCTAAATATAAACCGACGTCTGCTCCAGTTACCTGGGACGTATCAGATCCCTCTTCACGGTTCTGTTAACGAGGCGTCGGCCCTCGGGCTCCGGGGCCGACGCCTCGTTCCTGGCCTAATAGATATTTGGAGATGCGAATGCACTTCCGAGGCGATTAAGACTTGAAACGTGCGTGTCTTGTGGAGTTACCGGCGAAAGCTCGTCAGAAGCGGCGCCTGAACAACCGGTGAATCCACCTGCAGACAGCGGGAAAACGGCGCAGGGCCGGACGCCGCTCGCTTTGTTTCCTGCTCTGAGCCTAAAGTGGAAGAAACACCAGAGGTTTCATGCAACCAAAACAATGAAGTAGATAATTGTGCATTGGAAGATTATTGACATCGTTTTCATAGATTTTTTTAAATATAAAACTGACAAGTTTTTATTTAGCCCCTGTTAGTCAGTGTTTTGTAGAACCGCATGTTTGGCTCCCAGACATTTAGGTTCTTTGTGCATCGAGAAGATGAGAATTTCTGTCCATTCTTTGTAAAATAATTCATTCAGTCATGACGATTAGTTGTTGAGAGTATTTTATTCCAGGTGGGTTTATTTTCATAACTGAGTCTCATTGGATGCTTCCATACCTGCTCAATAGTCTTGGAAAAGAAAGTGCAACATTAATGCATTACAGTGAGCTGATTTGTGACACAATTCAGATAAAATTCAAGTTTTTGATGAAAATAAGATGAAATGTGAAGAAGTCAAATGGGTTTAAGAGCTTCTTTAAGTGTAAAACAAAGTAGCTGCTGCTTTAAATATGCATTAGGATGCAACTTCTTTTCATGCTGCATCTTGCTCTCCATCTGGTGAACAGAGAGAACAGGCCGGTGTGAGTCAAAGTTCAACAGTAAAAAAAAAAACAACTACAGAGACAGAGAGAGACTAAGAGTGTTAGAACAGCGCTGCAGGAGAAGATGGGTTGTCATGGCTGGCTCAGATCTCTGAAAGAAAAGAGAGCTGGGTGACTGCCCTCCGTATGAAGCATAAGTATGTAGGGACGAAAAACGCTGGAAAAGATAAACAGGCAGAAAATCAGTGGGAGGCAAAACAAGGCGAGAAATCAGAGAGAGGTAGTGCGGAAAGATGCAGACGGAGACAAAGTTTGGGGAAAGAAAACAGGGGGAGGGGAAGTGATGCAAGTGGAGGAGGGCGGAGGACTGGAAACACATCTTTCTCTTTAAACATCTGAATCTCGCCGCATTGCTTTAGAAACCGAACCTGTGTTGTGGTACGTAGTCGGCACCAGAGGGAACCACACCCCGAGGCACTTCCAGAGGGGGTCGGGAAGAGAGTCCGGGAGTTCTCATTACCCTCAGTGTCATTACATACAACCTTATGCATGCATGCTCACACATCCAGAGCTTCAAACTAACAAACAGGGAGCTTCACTCCAGGGTACATGTGTTACTGACAGAAAAGTGTTGGAACATTCCTCATTTCTTTAAAAAGCATTATTAATCAGTCCTAGAACTTTCAAAGTGATTTTGGAAAAAAGTCAAATAAAACCTGTGGTGTTTTAATACTTGATAGTCCAGTGGACTCAAGTTTCAAAAAGGACCAAAACTGCATCGTTTGTTACATTTTCAGCTGTTGTGGTTCACTTTCACACTGCACTGAGTGAAACGGACTAAACTAATTGAAGAAGCTGTTCTCCTCCTCACCTGTGGTGGCGCTGCACCAAGAACCACCTAAAGAAATGACACAAAACCCTCTGAAGAAGACATGAGTGCAACTTCCTTTTTATGAAATGGAGACAAAAATGTGGTGGTCAGACTTTAGCAGTTGTAGGATTTCTCTTTTTGACCCGTTTCTCCCACTAGCGTGTTTGTTTGGATTATATTTACCCAGAATGCCCTGCACTGCGGTCAGTTTTCTGCTTAGGGAGCAGTCTCCGGTCTGCTCAGCGTTCACACATGGATTCGAATCACACCAGAGTTCACTTCAACTGAACCAAGACCAAGGTTTTTAGTCGGACCAGAGTTTGATGAAGCGTTCAAACCTCCCCAAACAAATCAGACTTTCTAGGCAAATGAATACAGTGGACTAAACAGGCCTCATTATCCGCAGGACCCTAAAGTGACCTTGATCAACAGCTCAGACTGGATTCTACAACTAGTGAACTGCTCTGCTCAAAAACACTCTGTCACAATTCTTTCTTCTCGTTTCTGCTTTCCTCTAAATTATTTCTTTAAATCCTAAAACCTCAGACACGTCTGAAGATACACAACACTGTAGAGATATGGTTTGTCGCTCTTTCTTCCCCCCTAATCCAAATCCCGAAGAATAGAATCCTCTTTTTTTTCTCACCTATATCTGCTCTCTGATCGTTTTACACTGAAAGAAAGTGAGCAGCAGATAAACGCTTTAACCTTGATTTAACTCCATCTTCAAAGCCGCGAGAAGGCAGTGCAGTCAGCGTGTGGCTCATCGAGGACTTTCGGTCTGCTGGTTTCTCAAAATTTCACCATGTAAACCTCAGACATATATTACAGCCATATGAGAGAGTTTTAAATAATCGAAAATGACAACATAGAGATTAAATTGTCAGAGAAGGTTCAATAGAGTGCAGCGAGAAGGGCTACCGTAGACCTGAAGGAAAAATATAAAGATTTGTAATATTTCAGGAAGAATAAAGTAACACAAGGGTGATTTAAAGCAATGTAGTGAAATAAGGAAAAAGTTTTTATTATTATTATTATTATTTTATTTTAAAGTCTGTTATATTGTAGTTTTCAGAAACAAGGATTCAAGACAAGTTTATTTGAAAAGTCTTTCAGCAGTTCAATGTGCAAAATCATAACACAGTAACAAGCATTTTATGTTGCCATGTTGGTGCAACTGCAGTTCAGTGGCAATAATCATGACGTAATCCAAAAGTTTTGGGTCAGATTTCCTCCTTCCACATGTCTATGTGTCCCTGAGCAAGGCACTTAACTCCGAGCTGTCGAGCGATCTGCATATTGGTGCATGAATGTGTGCGCATGAGTGAGTGCAACTTTCTTTGTGTGGTCGCTATGACTAGAAAAGATGTAAATAAATGAAGCCTGTTTGTAGTTTGATCATTTTATTAGCTTTCAAAGTAAAAGTTAACTTTGTAGTTATAAATGAACTCAAAGATAGAAATGCAGCAACGCCTGCTTTTCAGGAGTTTTAGAACAAACACGTTTTTAAAAACATTTCACGTTTGGTCATAAATTACCAAATGATCAGTTTTATTAATACTGTATTTTCCAGACTATGTGGCACTTTTTCAAATAGTTTGGCTGATCCTACGACTTCTAGTACAGAACAATTTACATACGACTTTTTCACCTTCAAAATGCATTTTTTTTTATATATAAGCAATTTGTAATCCAGAAAATGCAGTATGTGCAAGTTACTGGGTCTTGAAATGTTCATAAAAGCATTATTGGTGCTCTCAATATTGGTGCAGAACTCAG